ATCCTGCAGCAGCTGTGTGTCCACCTCATCTGCTGGCAGCTGCACGTAGCGGACGACTGAGCCTCTGATGAAGCAGTTCTTGACGGATAACTGGAGACAAATGTGAAAGCATGTCCATTAAGAATGTGTCCACCCAAGGGCCATTTGTTTCAAGGGCTCCTCTTCCTCACAAGCCCCAACTCACCATGTGAGGGTATTTCTCAGGGTCTGTGACACTGATGTCGGTGAGCTTGATATTGAGGTACTAAGAAAGAGGACACTGTCGTTAACCCTAGCCTAGACACAGGGGCAGCAATCCCCGCCCCACCTCCTTCCCCAAGAACTAACTGAGCCTTCACTGCATCTCACCTGGTCCACAGAGTGGAGGGTTCCACAGATGCTGTCAAGGGAAAGAGGAAAGACCCAAATTAATTTACACGAAATCATGGAGGGAACATCAGAACTAGAGAATGTGGGGGAGGAACTCATGGCCCAGAAGCCAGTGGGCGCCACCTGTGAGTTCTGATAAAGAATCTCAAAATGGCTCATCACTTCAGAACTGAGTCTTTCCTTACACATCAATAGCTACTACTGAAGGGCTGCAGGCCAGGCCTATATTCTGCATAATATTTGTATTTCCTTCTTAAGACAAGTTCCCATTTGGCCCAGACTGGCCTCAAACTTGTGGCAATTCTCCTGCCTCCACTTCTGAAGTTTTAAAACTATATATAGGAGCCATCATCCATGTCCATCTTCTCTGTGTTTCCCAGGGTCTCTGCATAGCCCTTCCTGTCCTAGAACTCGTTCTGTAGACCAGGCTGGCCTCAAACTCACAGAGATCTGCCTGCCTCTGCCTCATGAGTCGCAGGATTAAAGTATTAAAGGCATGTGTTGCCATCACCACCACCTATACTCATCCTTTAAAAGTAATTAATAACCAGGACTTAAGAGGTCCTCTAATGGAGGGGAGGCTGGAGACATGGCCTAGAGGTTAAAAGCACTGTGGCTCACAACTATCTGCGGTAAGATCTGGTGCCCTCTTCTGGTATGTAGCTGTACATGCAGGCAGAACACTTGCAGAACATTTGCGCATGTGAGAGAGCGAGAGCGGGAGGGAGCGAGAGAGCGAGAGCGAGAGCGAGAGAGAGAGAGAGAGAGAGAGAGAGAGAGAGAGAGAGAGAGAGAGAGAGAGAGAGAGAGGGGGGTCTTCTAAATTAAGAAAATTTAAAACAAATAAACTCGAATGTCAGCCCAGATCTGCTTTTCCCCTAGAAGGATCAGCTGTGTTTTGGTGTTTTTTTTTTTTTTTTTTTTCAAATAAAGACTATGCTATTTACACGTATGTGGACAATCTGCACCTACAGAGGCCTGAAGAGGGCGTCAGATGCCCTGGAGCTTGTTAGAGGTGGTTGCGTGCAGCCCAACAGACATGTTGTGAACTACTCAAGGCACTTGCTGGGATCTGCCCTCTAGTTCTCTGAAGGCAGCAACCTTTCTCAACCACTGAGCCACCTCTCCAGTCCCAATTGCTATTTCTAACCTTCTACTTCTTTCCAGCCAGAGACTTATGTGTGGCAGGCATTTTGGTTTCTTTAAAAACTCAGTTATGTTATGTGAACATGTTTTTGTTTTATCCCAGGTGTGGGCTGCTTCAGACTATCCATGGCAGCAGACTCTTTGTCTCATGCAGGCCCTGAAAGGGATCTTTGTTGGCTGCAGGCAGTTTAGGTCTGGGGGCTCTGAGAGGGATAGGGGTGCTTGAAAGAAGGCTGCTGCTCCCCCTGCTGCTCCGGTTACTGCAGTCTGATGAGAAGTTGGAGATATCCTGACTACGAAGACTGGACTTGTCCCAAGGAACCCAGTGACCCTAACCAGCAGGAAGTAAACTGTGAAACCTATGGCCCCTCTCCTACTAACCTTTCTCTCCTACCTGGTGTTGGGGTGTCGGAAAGGATAAGGGGTGAAGGGAGGTAGAGACCTAAGA